TCATCTCATTTTAAAACATTTATTCCGGTTAAAATCGGTTTACTATAATATAATTTATAATTTATATAGGTATATTACAGCTATTGGTTATAAGTTATAACTTATATGTTAGGATAGATATGTACACCTATAGTTACATACCACTATTTTTATGTTATATTTTATTTTTATTTTAAAAATTCAAGTGTTGTTTAAAAAATGTACGGCTTACAAGTTAATATTTTAAAAATTTAGTTATTTAAATATTTAATGTAGGTTCCTCCTATATAACCAATAACATAAATTTAATGCTCAAATTTTAAGTCTCTAAAAATAAGCTAATTTAAATCATCGTTGATATTTAAATAGTAACCGGTGTACGGTGTACCTATACATTATGAAAAAATAAAATGAAGGTACTTAAATATTTTTGAGAGTATTGTATTTGATAGATCATAGATACCTACCTATTATATACCTAATATGACTTATTTTATTGAATTATAAAACTAAAGTTGTACATTTTGACGAAAATCAAATCAAATGAATGACGACAATCAATTATAGTGTGCCCATAGGCATTTCTCATTTGAGAAATTACTCAAGTAAAAATATGTAAAATGATTATTACTTTTTGTTTTTAATGATGTAATTTTATTTTTATCATCATATGTTTCTATATCTAAATGGCTTGTCCTTTAAAATTTTAATAAATAAAAAACAAAAAAATAAAAATATAATAATAATTTAATATATTAGCAATTAGGTTTATTATTTAATGAGTTGAGAATATTAGCTTTACATTGTTATTAAAAATATACATTAATGCACAGTATTACCTATGTTTCATTGTTTTATACTTTTATCGTAATTTTTTGGTATTGTTTTATATTTGTTGAAAAGTTGTAAAATTAACCTACTTATTATAGCGTTGTATCAGCTATTTGTGATAATTTATATTTTAGCTGCTTCATTAAATTTAATATATTTAATAAATATAGCCGTAGAACACTCTATACATATAATAACATAAAAGTGGATTAAAAAACCAATGCATATAGAGTAAAGAAATTTAAAAAAAAAAATATATATATATAGGTACCTATATATATATTCATATTTAACGCATGTAAAAAAAAAAATTATATTCAAAATGTGATAATATAATAAAAATATTATATACAGTTAAATGCTATAATATTATATCGGTAATCGCTTAATATATTATCACTTTGTCATATTTTCTATTTATTAATTGTATATTAATTTTAAAACGATTTGTAAGTACCTATATGCAATATGCATATATTGTAATTGATATTTGAACATTGAAGATTGAACTATAATTAAACATTATAATAAATTGTAAATATTAATGTAGGTAACAGGTATAGGAGAATAAAATTGTCACATTAAATATTATTCAACAATAATGCAATTATATTATATGCACATAATAGCATGTTCATTATAGTCATAATTCATGAAAATAAACGACCAGTACCATATTGGTTAATTTAATTAGGAAAATTAAAATACGTTATATAAATTGATAAATTGTTTTTCTTTTTGAACTTAGTTTTAGTGACATTGATCATTACAGCTTATTGTATTATTTTCTAATTAAATTTTTACCTAAATAGTAAAATATATGATGACTAATATATAATTTAATGATGACATTAATATAATTGAATTTTTTTTTTACATACAATACCTATCAATTAATACACGTTAGGTAATATGATATGCTAATATTCATGTTATATTCAGAATTGATAACGACTTAATATAGTATATGGTCAATTTTATTTTATAATTTTGTTTATATCTGCCATCTTAATGCTCATTTCTTTCCACCCTGCTGTTATTCCTGTTTAAATTAAAAGGGTCGGTTTTTATATTATCTGGGTTGAAAAACTTTACGACTTATTCTTACAAAAAACTGGTGGTTCCTACTACATTTATGTGTAATATAATGTAATATAAACAAATAGTGGCGCTATAATACTTGAAATACCGGATTTTCCTTTATTATACCATTTTAACATAAAAGCACCAGAAATTGATAAACCATAATACATATATAAGCAGGTGATATCTCTCATTAAAAATGTTTTACAATGGTGATTAAAAATAACAAAAAAGTTTTAAGTACTACCAATAAAAGTCAATTAATTTAACCAGCTTATTAATTTTGATTATTTCGTGTGTAATCATTTCTACGGCTTACCTATTTAATTGTTTTTTTTTATTATTTGAAATACGATTACAAAATAACGGTACAATTGAGTGTTACCTATAGGAATACTAGATAAATTATTTTGATAAAATAATAAGATACAATTAACATTTTACTTTCTCATAGTCTTCGATTAATTGGAAACCACCATATTATGCATAATAATATTATGTTGAGTTGAATTTCGAGAAACAAAATATCCAAATACTAATATAATTCATATGAGTATTAACATAGAAGTGGATTTGAAATGAAAATTTGTTTTAAAAATATTATCAAATACTGAAATACCTATAAAAATAATTCAGTACTTATTCAAATCAGTTGTTGGCAAATCGCGTCATTTTACATACTGTTTATTGCTGTTTTCACGACAAGTCCTATGTAAGTACACTTGTATAATATTAAATTTGGAACGAATTTTGTAAAATCCATTACCCTATCAATCTACCAGTTCAAATGTTTTGCATATTTCTTGTGGCAACGGAAACAAACTCATTTTATATATTTAACAACATTTTTTACACATAATTTGACACTTTTATGGAAGTCCACGCAAAGTTCATGTATTTGTAGTTTTTGAATATAATTAAAGTCAATTTGAACCTAATTGTTCTTAGAATTGTTTATAATCTAGGTATGAAATAACTAAAATATTTTTTAGCATACTAAAATGTTGTATCATTAGACATAAATACAGTTTTAATAGTTATTTATTCTAATTGATGACTGCAGGTGCTGACTTTATTTACTTTAAACATTTTATAATTCATAATAAAATATTCTCACAACATATACACACATTAACGCATAATGATTGTACTGTTTCATATAAATAACAAAGTACACATCTTATAATACCCAATTTTCCATAATAATATGGTTTCATAATTTATTAATGAAGTATCAATACAAGTATTGTATCAATAAACGATGTTGTTCCTGACTAATTCTAATAAATGCGTCTAATAAACACATTGAAACGCAGTTAATTACAAATTGACAATAATTATTGACATTTATTGTACGTTTATTCAATTTGTATACAGGTTTAGGTACTAGCAAGTATACTTTAAATATTATAGTACTAATGTGTACAATTTATACGTCAATAAGTATATTATAACTATCAAATTCTTTATTTTTATTTAAATACTAATCTTGATAATATTATATAGTTTAAATATTAAATTAGTACTTAAATTGTTTTAATGCTACCTATACCTACATTTAATAATATAATATTATGTTAACAAAATATTTAATAGATTTAAACAGAGATTTCAATCAAACGCCAACACTGGTTTAATATACAAGTGAATAAAATATATAGAAAATTGTTAAATAATACGCTTGGGCACAAATCAACACGCCCATCCATATTATATAGTGGTTGCGTGGGGTAAAAATTGGAAAGCAATAACGATGGCTGCTATTTATTATTTTTTCAAACTAATAAATCAAAAAAAAAAGAAATAGGTAAATAAATCTTCATTATTAACTAATTCCGATAATGATTAATTAACAACAACAGTTATTTGTAGTGCCATAATAATTCACCCGGTCCCGTAATTGTAAACTATAGTATGACAATTTAATTATCTAACTTATATTCATACAAATTATTTTACTCGATAATTAATATTAAAATTTGTACTAATGTACAATCACCTACAATTAATAAACACAATCGTCTAAAAAAAAGTGCGACGGCCTGGAACCATTAGGTATGAAAAATATACTTTTAACATTTGTGAGTTTTTATTGAACTGTGATATTTGCGAAGACTTGATATTCGATACGTATAGAGGGGAATAGAAATCCTATTATAAACATGCTGACAAAACATTTAAAAGCATCAAATTAGCGTGACGAATTGATTAGTAGTATAAGGGTAACAGACCTTTAAACTTAAACCCGTTTTAATATTACGTTTTATTACGTCTGGTTAAAAACTTGTAGGTACCTATACTGTTTATATACATTTCAATTTTTATAGCAACATTATATCATAAATGTTAAATGTATACCTATTAACTTTTAGTAATAATTTAACTAATAAATATTAAGAACATAAATAAATTATAAGATTCATAATTTTTTTTTAAATGTATCTAATTTAACATAAAAAACATTGGAAAAATGTAATATGTAAATTAAAACAACAAACTATTATTTTTTATATTTTTTTAAGACTCTTAATTGAAGTTTACGGTAATTTTTTTAGCAATTTAACAAAAAAATGAACATTTTTAAATTTCAAAATGATCATTGATGACTGGGAATAATAGAATAATACCTAAGCATTATATAGGGTATTCGTTCGTGTATAGCGTTAAACAAGTTATGAACATCTTAAATCATATTTTATTTGAGACACAAAAAAAGTTGCCAGGTTTGATAAAAGTTTGATGTTGGTATTTCAAAACTATTTGACAGCGACTCACCGCGTGTTACAAATAAACAAATATAAAACATAATGGTGCGTTACTCTTATACTATATAACTTTCGACGACGATAGATAGAAGAAAAATGCGTTATTTTTAAACGGATATGCCACTGAAAAGGAATGTGACTTGTTCGTGCGTACTATATGATGTACCTATCTACGTGCACCGTATTTATTGTGTTCATATTTTTAGGTACCTATATTATAGGTATATAAAATGAGACAATTGATAAATTCGAATGTTCGGTGGTCGACAATCGGCAACAAAAAAAAACCGTTTGAAACTCTCAAAACATATTTTAAACAGTTGGGCGACATCACTATGGTACCTATAATGAATGCGTGTGGGTCATATAGTGTGTCAAGGTCGTACTCACGTGCGAAGACGTCAGGTACGAATCGTCGGACGCGTTATCAGTGTCATTCTGACCGCGAGTATCGGCCGCGGCGACGGCGGCGGAGGAAGCACCGTCCTGTAATCTCTGCGGGTGGTCCATCTGCTGCTGTTGCAGGTGAGGTTGTGGCGGCAGCAGCGACGGCGGAGGCGGCTGGTGATGCTGCTGGTGCAAGTGATGGTGATAGTGGTGAGGCTGCTGCTGTTGGTGGTGATCCCAGTAGAAAGGGTCCATCATGGTGACGGTGGCCGGCCGCGAAATATTATAATATATTATATTTTATATATACGCTCGTACTCACTATATATATCGCACTTCAGCACGACCCGGCGTGGCACGTTTGTGTGCAATCTATTACAGACGGTCGGCGCGCGTCAAGCGGCGGCGGCGGCGTCGTCGTCGTCGACGTCGTTGCGGTTCGTACGGCGCGACGGCGGCGGTGGTCGTACGCGGTTAGGTCATCGTGCACACGCGTGCACACACGTGCGTTATATTATTATATTAATATTTTTTTTTTTTTTTGGCGGGCGGGGGTTGAGACTTTTGAGACGCGACGACAGCAGTGACGGATTCTGGGGTCAGAGTGTATAGGGGATGTACGAAAAAAATAAATATTATAATATATACTATTAGGTATAATATTATTATGGTAACCGTCTAATAATAGTAATATAATATTATGATATACTTATTGTATTTGATGGAATATTCGAGGTATATCGGAAACTCACGCGAGAAGTGAAATAATAATTAACGAAAAAAAAAATCCGGACTCGGCGATCGTATGAGTGAGAGGGAGAGAGAGAGAGTGAGAGAGAGAAAAAGACGGGAAACTTTGACGTCGGCGACGACTATATTATACACTATACGACGACGACGACGACGACGGGTAAGCACGACGCGCGCGACCGACGGACAACGTGCGTGTGTGTTCGTGTGTGTGTGTGCGTGTGTGAGTCCGTGTAACGTGCGAGACCGCGTGTGTGTTAGTGTGTGTGGGAGCTGGCCCGGCCCCGTACGGGCGCGCGCGTTCCGCTCGTTGATAGGTTGATTACGTCACCGTTCGCCCCGATATATACGCATGCTGACGATGTCTGGGTGTGTGTGTGCCGTGTGTGCGAGTGTTCGCGCGCGTGCGTGCGTGTGTGATACCCGTGTACGTTTGGATTAACGACAAATTGCCCCGGGCGCCACTTTCCGCATAAAACAACCCCTAAACACTAAATCCACTCCTTTCTTACACCCCCTACTCCACGACAAGCTCTTCCAATATTAATACGGTCACTATATAACCACCGCACATCCTTTCGCCACAGATTTTCTTTTTTTTTTACTACACATTTAGGTATACATCGCTCGTCGTCACCACCTCTATAATATTATAATACCTATTTATATATTATACGTACGACTGTAGCGATATAGGTATATGCCATATACGACCGCCTGGACGTATAATATGTAAAACGTACAATACTTTTAACTAAGTAATGGAAATACTTTTTCTGTAATATGTTCTTCACAATATCGTATATATTTATGCGAATACATTCCAAATCGCTTACATCACTTCGATTATATCATAATATACTACAAAATTAGAATTTTGTAATAATATTATGTTGAAGAACTTTTCAAACACGTTAACCCATAGAACAATGTGTTGTATTTTACCAATGTCAACTTGAATGAAAACTTTTAATGATTCTGAATACTATAGGTACATTACAATATAACAATATGATATAATGATTAGGTATATTATGAAGTCTGAAAGATTTAATTTTCTTTTCTCTGTCAAACTTCGCGCGTCGTGTTCCTAAATTAATTTATTTATAATGCTAATTGACGCCAAAATTTTAATCAAGATTTTTTAACGAGATGATAATTTATAATTTGAAATTTATTAAAATATGAATATTATCATCTGTTTAATAAACGATATAGACAGATACAGACATTTAACTAACACAATTTATTGTAATATTTACATTTTTATATACGTTGTCCTCATGTACATATAACTACATTTATTTGTCCTATAAATCGTAACTTCAGCATGTCTGGATTTTAACAGTGGTTATTTTTTTTTAGCTTTAAGGTTTTTCAGTTCTAACCGTTTCAAACTTCTATAACCTCGTCTTAGAGGGTCATTCTATGCTCAATTGTTACAAAAATATCAGCATCATCAGTTTTTCTAACCATTCGATACTTTTGGCTACGAGGGGAACAAACAATTACGTCCCCTTTACCTTAAACAACACTATATAATGTATATTGTAGTTTTCCATTTAACAAAAAGAAGTACTGAAAATACAAATTGAATTATTTTGTTATCGAGAAAAACCACAGATATAAATAATAATAAAAAAAGTTTTTGAATTATTGTTAAAACTCAATTATATACATACATTTTTAACACTATATAAAAGTTAGTTTTAATTCATAGAGGTTCTTAATAGTTTAAAACTCATAGAAACATCAGAATACCATTTTTTGTATATAATCTCTTAACGTATTAAATATATTTATGTACCTCATTAAATTTCATGGTAAATAATTTAGGAAAACAATTAATCAAAATAGATCAAATGTCAATAATAATTAAAATAACTAAGGTTTAAGCAGACAACTTTTGAACTGTAGCTTTAAATTAACTTGCTCGCCATTGTCAAATGTTTTTGTGTTAGTCGTTATAGGTATGTAATACAAATATTGTTCGAATTGAGATGTTTATTTTCTTATAGTGGACTGTATACTTAGAATATTAAATTGAATAGTTCATATTTTAACTTTGATCTAGTTAAAGCATAATTTATTGAGTACCTATTAATTGTTTCAACTTTCAAGGTAGGTACCATTAACAATATTTAGAAAGTTTAATCATCTAACATCTAAGAATACATTATAATAAAAAAAAACTTAGAGTTTAATATTTTTTTACTGCACCTGTATTTTTATTTAATTTTTAATTTTTAATTTTTCTATACATTATAATGTCAATATTGCTTTTTTCAGTCAGTTGACTTGAAAACTGTTATATCTAAAAAATGATTGGTACGAATACTATAAAGATTTATCACGCAATAGCCAATAATAGATATTGAACTTTACATAAACAATAAAGGACATTTTTAAAACATAGTAACCTAGTAGTTGACTCTGCATCATGAATAATAAAAAAATTAATAATGTTTTTTTTTTTAAATACGTCTAATATTTTGAACTAAAAATAATTTATATTTGAGAATGCTCAAAATTAATGACATACAAATTAATCAACTGTTAATATTATACTGTAATATGATGATTTAATTTAAATATTAAACTGATGATTATAACTTTATAATATATTATATTATAGGTATATATTTAAATTATAAATACATTTTTTTCTGATCTTATAACATTGTAGTTACAAGCACAAATACACTCTATTATATTATATTTAAAATGTAATAATATTGTAACTAAAATATTAAAAATAAACATGACCAGAATGAAAATAAATAATCAAGATTATGATTTTTTTATTGTACGGTTGTTACCAAGGACATATTTCGTCTAGACAATAAGAACGATAATTTTTAAAAGAAACGTGACTAAAAGGGTGGTTGACATTTTCTAAATATTTTTAAAGATCAAGAATCTAACCTTCGGGGTAGGTATATCCACTATTACGATGTCATATAAGTAAAACAACTGTCCAATATTTGTTACTTGTACAATCGATAAAAATCATTAAAACGAACAAACAATTTTTAGGGATATAAATATAAATAGTACCTATACATATTGAATACCTATATTGTCATTGTGTATACATTAGAAAATTGGTTAATTTTGTTTGTTCTTTAAAATGAGAGGTAAAGTTGACAGTTGTAATTTAGTACTTATATTTAGCATATTATATGATTCAGTCACAAGTTCCTTATAAGCACAATTATAGGCACTATTCATGTCATCAGTGGCATACGCAAAATTATTGATGGGGAAATTCCGTGGTTTTTAACACCTGCTCAAATTGAAAGGTGGACCAACGATTTTAAATTAATAAATTTTGCTTAAATTATCTTAATTAATTATACATTTTTTTCTTATATATATAACACCCTCAACTATAGGTATTAATTAAGTTTATATTTATCATACTGTAACATTTAAGTACCTATATAAAGAGTCTATGAAAATTCAAAAATAATTATAAATTTTAAATTTACTTATTAGGTTTGAGAAAATGTCAAATAATTAGATTTTTTATATAGTTATAATAATAAAAAAAAACCTTACCATAGATAAAAATAAACCCCGTGCCGTATATAAGTTAGAAATTTGCATCGATCGTTATATACACATTCCTAAACTACTTTTACTATACATTAGGCACGTACATCAATGATACATTTAATGGAAACTGTATGAATATAAAGTGAATTTAGTGAATATATTAAAATCACAAACAATTATTTACAATCTTGGGTATGCATCTCAACATTATGAGTTTGACGGTATAAATTCAAAATAAATGAGTAGGTATACCTACCTAAAAATATATAATTGTATTTCATTACATTTACACTAAGGTCCGACTACTCACCAGTCACCATTCACCAATTATAACCAAACATAAACAATAAACATAGTATACGATGGACCATCAACATATTAAATTATGTACTTATAGGTCTAACATTTTGAGATAGACGACGAAAATGCTGTCCAAATTTGAACAATAAAATAAAAACACGTAGAACATATTTCTAACAATTTCAAAAACTATACTCTACCCAGGCGCGTATCCAGAATTTTATTTCGGGAGGGGCTGAACAAAATTATCAACATAGTCACACAATAAACAAAAAGTGGGTAAGTGGATGTCGCTCTGCTGCACAGTAGGTAACAAGTGGGTCACTGTAATGGATAGTGTAAAATTTGAATTCAATGATATAATATCATTGTATAAGAAAAACGATTCTAAGCGAAAACGGTCAGTCAGCCTATGATATTACTAAGTATATTTGATGATATTATTGTGAATAAAGTAATTTATATATTTACCTATTTACGTGGACCATTGTTTTAAATTTTTAATCCTTAACTATGAAAGTTGAACATTTTTAATTACAAAATATTTATTATATTTTAAATTTGATAAATTTTGTCAAAATTCAAACTTTAAATGATTATAAGAAAACATTGTGCCTATGTATTTTTAATATTTTTCAACTAATATTTTT